ACATTCTCATTTTTTATTTCTCCCAGGGTGTTTGTGTGCTGCTTTGAAGTCCATTCTTCCCTTACAGCTGGCATTCCTTCTCCAGATGCACAGCTCTTGTTTAGAGGAATCTGTTTGCTGGGGGACAAGGTTCCCATGGTTGAAACTTGATCCGAAGCCCTTGAGTGATATAGTCTAACACTGGGGTTGCAAGGAAAGCCAGAACCAAAAAGTTTTTTGCCTTGAACGCCAGCATAATTTTTATTGACTGGGGTGTCCCCTGTCTGATTTGGTCCAAAAGAAGTTATGTTTGGAGATAAAAACCTAGGCCCTATAGACGAGTTTACGTTCTCTGGACTTTTACTTGTGATGACACTCGTTAATGGGTTGTGCTCTGGCACCTGATGGACCTTGGACAACTCCTTTTGCTCTTCAAAGCTACTAGAAAGTGTTCTTTGCCTATGGCCCATGTCTTCAGGCTTCTGAGAGGCACTTGCCCCATTTGCCTGTTCGTCTTGACAGCTTAAAGTTGAAGCAACTTCGGAATGCTTTTCTGCAATAGATGGATTCTCCATACCCTCTGCTCTAGGCAATGCTATCCCTGAGCCACACTGCTTTTCCTGGGGATCTATAAAAGGTCTTGTAGAGTGCAAGTCTTCACTCCCACTTAGGACACTTGTCTTGATTTCTACACCTCGAGAAGATTCTTTGCCAAAATAGCCGCTGCTACCTTTCTCTGTTTGCAAGGAGAGGCTTTCTGACTGCTTCTCCAGAGGCGACTCTGTAATTTCCAGCTTGATGCTGGCATGAGATACTGGGAGAACTTTTTCCAATGGAAGGTTCCCCTTAAGCAGCTGCATCACTAACGGGTTGTTGGTTTCAACAGAGGATATAGGCCGAGCAGAATCTGATGGCACATGCTGCCCCTCAGGTTTCTTGGACAATGGTGCATGTGGCCCCCATCTCTGAGGAAGAAGCAAGCTGCTCATCACTGTGACTGAGGGGAAATCCACAACATAGGCAAGACCATCTGTTTCCACAGACGATTTAGATCTGATTCTATCACATCTCTTAGTACTGCTCTGAGAGGAGGAGTCTTTCCCAGCTGCCTCCCTAGAACTGACATTTCTGAAACATACATCTATCTCTATATTCTCATCAGCTACATCAGCTTCAAAATCTGAAGCAGTATCTGTTGTTTCACTGTGCATACTCTGTATTTCATCATCTCCATTTGTCTTGGACTCTCGAATCTCTCTCAATGGCTCATCACATGCATTTTCTAGTTCTGTTCTGGGTTGCCTCTTCCTCAGTTGCAGAACTTTTTCAGAAGTATCTATCCTATTCTGAGGAGTGAAATCATCATGTAAAAAGGGTTTCACCAGAGACTCTGTGTTCTGTTCTTCATTATTTAGTTTATTGTCATTCTCTTTCTCTGCCTGCAGGTGTGCAAAGTTACCCAGTGCAGGAACGACTTTCTCCATTCCAGAAGTCATTGTTTTTGAGTTATCCCTACCAGTGATGCATTTTTCCACAAATGTTTCAGAGCCATTAAATCTAGATCTAGGTATCATTTTTGGCTCGTGGCATTCTCTACCAACTGATGACAATTCTAGCAGAAGACTACTAGGACAACTGGATAAGTTTTCCTTCACGTCAGAAGGATAATTCAACTGTACTGTGGGAGAACTAACATCTTTCAGTGCTGATACAATCTGGCTGTCTCCTGTAGGACTGATCACAGTTCCCTGTGCCTGAGAACGAGACAGATCATTTACTGGAGGAACCACACATTTCAGCTTTGTACTTTGCCTGTCCTGTAACGCAACACAAGGGGAGGTTTCGGTCCTTATGTCACAGAGCAGCTGCTCAGGGCTCTCCTCCCGCCTCTCAGAAGTTGCGCTATCAAAGGATGACCCAGTCAAAGCATCACAAACCTGCCTTCTGGGTGAACTGTCACCAAGCTGAGCTTCCCCTGAGCTAATGTCTGCAGTGCATTCCAGATTGCTGCTCCCCTCGCTCTTTGAAGAAAATCTCTTCAAGACGGGATCCCTTAAGGAATTTGTGTTAGCCACCTGAGCAGCCACCTCAGAGTTAGCCTTTTCTCCATTTAGATGGAGAGACGACAATAATTGTGTTCGTTGTAGATCTGACGAACACTTTCCATGAGTTCTCTTTGATCTCCTGTGCTCTGTATGGCTACTGCATTCTCCTCCACCACCTCCTTTGTCAGTGCTTCTCCCTCCTCCTGGGCCGCCCCCACCTCCAATGGCGGCTGTAGCAGCTTCTCGCTGGGCTCGGGCTTGCAAAGCACGGGCTTTAATATCTGCGAGTGTTCTGGCCCCAGTCCTGCCCCGGCTGGAGGGCTCCGTGTTGGGGATGATCCTGGGGCATATCTGGTAAGCTGGCTGACCTTTAACCACCCAGGGTGGTTTAATACGTGAAAGTTGAATCTGAAAGAAAGAGAAAAACATTTAGCTCCATCACCTGACCATTTTCAGACAGTGAAGTACATTTTATTAATATCTGTTCATTTGAATTCTTATCACAAGAATTCAACAAAAAAGTTAGTTAAAGAAATTTTGGCAGAAAGAAGTAGCACAGTCCCCATTAGCCTCTGTTTATGTGCTCTGTCCTGCGGGATGTAGAACTCAATATTAACGCTGTTTTACCAGAGCCAGCAGACAAATATGAAATGAGTGGCTGGCATTCAGATCTTTAGAAATCAAAATGGTCTCCTATACATCAAGATGATTACCCTGAAGCTAACAAGATGGATGCCTCTAGTCAAAAAGGGAAAAGTCGGAAGAAACACTAAGATTCTACACTGAATAACAGAAACTGGGAAAACTAAACAGGTTGAAGTACATGATTTGAAAGTCTCTTTTGCAGACAAGTCAGCTAGTTTCAAGAAAAGTGACTTCTGTATGCACAGAAATGCAAACTAACAGAGTAAGTCAAGGTTACTCTATGCTCTTGTGCAAAGACCTTGGAATGATTTTTCCATTCCTTTCTTTGCCTGCCTAAATACGATAGTAAACAGTAGTAATTAGAGTAACTTAGTCAGCTCTATCAATGAAACTCTTTTACTTCCGTGAAGATGACAACCCTTGACTTTTTAATATTGTTTTGATACTACCGAGCATGACAGACTTAAGATAATGAGCAGCTATAATTTTCTTTCCTACCCGGATGGGTGGGACTTTTGGCTCCTCTTTAGTAGGCTGTGGCTTTTCTGTGTGAACACTTTCAATTGTGTTACGAAAGGACTGACGATCTTCAAGCCGTGGCTTCTTCTCGGGGAAGGAGGCAGAGGCAGCCTCCTCAAAGCATTTCCTCTTCTGGTCCTTTGACTCCCGAGCTAAGTTCTCCTGGGGCAAACTGGGAATTCTGTTTGCAGTTGCCAATGACAGATCTTCCGATTTACTGTGTAATTTGGAAGTCTCTGGAGAGAGAAGCAATTCTGAACTCTCTGGCTTCAGTACTGTAGCAGAAGCACTTGTCAGATCATCCTTCATTAGCTCTATCTCAGGCTTCGTCTCTTTATGAAATGAGGAATCTGGTAGCACAGACACAGTCTCTTTGTCAGCCTCTGTTTGCTCAGGTTCACGCGTCTTATACAGGCTCCTCCTGGCTCTGCATCGCAAGTCCGCCCTGGAACGTTTCTTGAAGTGCCCATCTCTCTGCCGCGTAGAGGGACCACGCTGTAGTCTTGCTTCTCCTTGAACAGACAATCCTGTCCTGTTCTCAGCATCTTCTTGCACCAAATTCTGCTCCTGGGATTCTTCTTGGGTCAAGCCCAACCTATGGGCAAACGTAAAACTAGTTAAAAGGTAGAGTCCACCCTAATGGAAGCATATCATCTATTATTTATAGCTGCACTGTCACTGCTGTACGTAGCAACACACAGATTACAAAGCAGACACTCATCAAAACCTCATTAAATCAGTCGGCAAAGAGATAACCTATATATTTGCTACCCTGCATTACTGTCACAGGGAATGAGGAAAATGAGAACATGTAAAGATTTGTTATGGAAAACTAATAATAACAACTTGTCTTGAACACAAAAAGAATAGATGGGTTATAAAATTCTGCCGTGACCCAGCCAATTTCACCTAAGAATTCCCCTGCAGCAACAGACTGAATGCTTCACTCCACAACTGCTGTTTTTTTCCAAGGAGTTGATGCTGCTTCTTCTCAGGTATCAGCAAGCAGGAAAGTACTCGACACCTGCCTTGGATAAAACAAGAATGATGAGGTGAAATTTCTTACTTTTGTCCATAGTAGTCCTCAAAGAACTTCTCTTTCCATTGCTCCACTCTCTTTTCCTTTTCCATTTCCTGTCGAATTCGAACTTGCATCTCATGGGTGAATTCACCTACATGGAAGTCAGAGACTGAAGTTCAGTTCCAAACAAAGCCAATTTTGCAAGTGTAATTTATTGTTTTTAAATACATGTAGTATAGTAGCTATACATACAAAGGACAGATTTTTCTGTTATCTCCCTGCTTTCTACCCTGGCACGGATCCATATGTTCCCTGCTTAAGGCAACAGTCACATAGCCTCAAGCATGTCTGAATATTGTATTTTACCAGATAAGAGGCCACATTAAAGAAAGGTAAGTCTAGTACCGCTTTACACCTCTGCCATTTTGTTCTGAAGACTCCACGGCACCTAAGAAAAACACATCTTTAATTTTAAAAGGTGAGAAGGGGGCAACACATCCAGAGATACTGCAAAGCTGGACTATATTCATTAACTGTAGGAACAAAAAAGCCTATAAAAATGAAAATCCAATTCTCCAACTACCTAGGAAAGGAAATTTACTCACCATCAGCTAGCCGCTCTCTCCAGCTTTGAGCGGCATGGGTGAAGAACTCATTATTCAGAGCACTGCCACTGAGTAAGGGGGGGGGGGGAGGGATGGGGGAAGGCATAACAGACAGAAAGCATCTGCTTCAGCTCTTCTGTAAGCAAGAGGTAATATGGTGAATGGAAAACACCAAGTGCTGCACCTTCATACCTGTCTATCAACTTCTGGAAGGAGGTAAAGCAGCTGCTGCTGGAAGTGTGATGGGAGTGCATTAAAGGTTCTGCAGTTTATAAGGGCTCGCAGGTTTGTATTGACAAGAATGGAACCAGGTGTTTCAAAGTCAATATCCTCACCCCTGTTTCGCTTCATTTGCCCTGTAGTTTAAAAGACAGGCAAATAAAATAAACATTTTTATATGAAAATATTCACCACTACGGGAATAAAACCCATGCCATCAAATACTGCAGCAAAAGGAACAAGATATATGAGAAAGGACTGAGATATATGAGAAGATACATGAGAAAAGCATGAAGAAAGGCTCTCTCAAAGAGACTAATTAATAATAGAGATAATTCTAGAATTTTGATGGTTAGAGTGACCATATGGTCAGAGTT